AATACAGACTTACCAAATGACACAGCAATTTCATTCCTTGGTATAGAACCAAGAGACATGAAAACATATGTCCACAAAAACACCTCTACTTGAAATTATTCATGGCCGGGCGCAATGGCTCAGGCCTGTAATCCCAGCACTATGGGAGGCTGAGGTGTGTGGATCACCAGGTCAAGGGATCGAGATCATACTGCCCAACAAGGTGAAATCCCATCTCTACTAAAAATACAAAAATTAGCTGGGCGTGGTGGCATGTGCCTATAGTCCCAGCTACTCGGGAGGCTGAGGCAGGAGAATCACTTGAACCCAGGAGACAGAGGCTGTGGTGAGCCGAGATCACGCCATTGCACTCCAGCCTGGTGAGAGAGTGAGACTCTGTCTCAAAAAAAACAAGAAATTATTCATAATAGCCCCAAAGTGGAGAATATCCATTAACTAATGGATAAATAAAATATGACATATCCATAAAATGAAATAAACTCGTCTGTGAGTACTGCAAGTACTGACACATGCTATAACAGGGATGAACCTTGAAAACATCATGCTAAGTCAAAGAAATCAGTCACAAAAGATCATAGAGTATATGATTCCACTTAACATAAAATGTCCCCAATAGGCAAATCTATACAGACAAAAGGTAGATTAGTGGCTGTCAGGCACTGGGGAAGGACGCTTTGGAAGATATGTAATAGTGACTAATAAAGGATACAGGGTTTCTTTCTAGGTTTATAGAAATGTCCTAAAATGATGGTGGTGTTGGTGGTGTAACTGTGAATATACTAACAACCAGTGAATTGTACAGTTTAGATGGGTGAATTTAAGATATGTTACGTCTTCATAAAACTCTTACCCCAAAGAAGTAGGTATTATGGCCACACATGGTGGCTCATGCCTGTAATCCCAACAGTTTGGGAGGCCGAGGTGGGTGGATAACCTGAGGTCAGGAATTTGAGACCAGCCTGGCTAACCTGGTGAAACCTCATCCCTACTGAAAAATATAAAAATTACCCAGGTGTGGTGGCACATGCCTATAATCCCAGCTACTGGGGAGCCTGAGGAAGGAGAAACACTTGAACTTGGGACACACCACTGCACTCCAGGCTGGGTGACAAAGTCAGACTTTGTCTCCAAAAAAAAAAAAAAAAAAGTAAGTACTAGGCAGAATAATGAACTTAGGTTCAAAGTCTTCTGATAAACTCAAGCTTTAATTTCAGAACTAAAAAAATAAAACAGGTATAAACATTAAAGAGATAAAATGGAATATAGAATAATTATTTAATACTAAAGAAGCCTGAGAAAGGAAACAAAGAAAGAACTGATGGGTCAAACAGAAAGCAATTAGCAAAAGTGTGCATTTTAAACCCAAAAATATTAATAATTACATCAAAAGAAAATGAATTAAACACTCCAAGATTAAATACCTGAGACTGGCAGGGTGGATAAAAAAGCAAGACCGAGTGATATGATGCCTATAAGAAACCTGTTATATAAATAATATGTATATAAAGATATGGATTAAAAGTAAAAGAGGGTTGGGCGCAGTGGCTCACACCTGTAATTCCAACACTTTGGAGGCCAAGGTGGGTGAATCATGAGGTCCGGAGTTCAAGACCAGCCTGGCCAACATGGTGAAACCCCGTCTCTACTAAAGATACACAAAATTAGCCAGGCATGGTGATGCATGCCTGTAATCCCAGCTACTCAGTAGGCTGAGGCAGGAGAATAGCTTGAACCTAGGAGGTGGAGGTTGCAGTGAGCTGAGATTGTGCCATTGCACTCCAGCCTGGACAACAGGGTAAGGCTCCAACTCAAAAAAAGACAAAAATAAAAGCATGAAAATTGGTAAACCAGGCTAAAAATAAATTAAAACAAAGCTGGAGTAGCTATATTAATAACTGACAAAGTAGACTTCAGAATAAACATTCATAGCAGAGATAAAGAGGGACATCTCATAATGAAAAAAGGATCACTTAATCAGAAAGACATAGCAATCTTAAATTTGTACATACCCACTGAAAATACTTCAAAATACAGGAATCAAGAACGGACAAAACTTTCTGAAAGGGGTAAGAAGACAAATCCACAAATACAGACATAGATGTCAATACTCCTTTCAGTAACTGATGGAACAAGTAGAGAGAAAGTCAGTAAAAATACAGGTGACTTATCTACTCTCATCCCAATTGATCTGAGATATACAGAACATGCTGTGTCTAGTGCACATGAAATAGTCACCATCTAAAAAATGTTCAAATATTTGAAAACAAAACCACATACTTTTAAATAACACACTATTCAAAGGGGTCACACAGAAAATTTGAAAATCCTTTGTACTGAATATAATAAAAACAAATCATACTAAAATTTGTAGGATACACCTAAAACAGGTCTTGGAGTTAAAATACTAGCTTCAATAATTATATTAGAAAACACGTAGGGCATGGCGGCTCACGCCTGTAATCCCACTACTTTGGGAGGCAGAGGCAGGTGGATCATCTGAGGTCAGGAGTTTGAGACCAGCCTAGCCAACATGGTGAAACACCGTCTCTACTAAAAACACAAAACTTACCCAGGTGTGGTGGCATGTGCCTGTAGTCCCAACTACTCAGGAGGCTGAGACAGGAGAACTGCTAGAACCCAGGAGGCGGAAGTTGCAGTGAGCTGAGATTGCACCACTTCACTCCAGCCTGGGCAACAGAGCAAGACTCTATCTCAAAAAACAAACACACAAAAAAAACTCAAACTGCACATTAAACATCAGTGCATTTTGCATATGTAAATAAAGATTCAAAAAGTAAGAGTGATAAGGCACACATAGACAGAAAGTTTTTAAATCTACCTGACATCATTCACAAAGATAAACATAAAAAATAAAACCACATCAAAAGAAAAATAAGAGGGTATGTTCATGATCCTAGAGAAAGAAAAGTCTTCTTTAACAAGATATTAAAAACAAAGCTGTAAAGGAAGAGAAAGATATATTTTATTCATCAAAATTAAAACCTTTAGGCCATAAAAAAAAAAAAAAACCACAAGAATCTAACTGGTAGATATATTTTCAGCATATATAATTAATTATTAGAATCCAGAATTCAAACAAAACAACACAAAACAAAAAAGGAAGACCACCTAAAACTCAATAGGTAAAAAATGCAACCCAAAGGACAGTGGGAATAAGCAAGTTCACCCACAAAGAAACCAAATAGATAACAAATATGTAAAGATGATGAACCTCACCAGCCATCAAGCAAATGGAATACCATTTTCACTCAAAACACGGTTATTTAATAACATCAAATGGTGGTGTGCATGTGTGAAACAACAGGTAATACAAGTGGGAGTACTGGCTCATACAAATCCTGTGACAGAACTATGGAAGGAATTTATAAGAGTATAGATTAAATATATACTACCAACACTCAGCAATTCTACTTTCTGCTTTTTACCCTAAAGAAAATCACACGCACAAAGAAGGCATGAACAAAGACACCAATTAAACATTTATAGAAAAGAAAACTTGCTATCAGCTTAAACACCACAGAGAAATGGCTAAATAAACTAGGATACGTTAATACCACAGATGCAGTTAAAAGAAATGAAATACCTCCATATGTAATAACATGGACAGGTCCCCAAGACCTATTGCTAACTGATGAAAGATACAGAACAACATATTTATGTAGAAATAAATGAGAAAATGATTACATGTAATGATTACATATATATTATGTACATGAATATAAAAAAGACTTGCAAAGGTACATATGAAAGATGTACCCCTTCTGCTGGGATGAAGGGAACAGAATTGGGAAAAGGCTATTATTAGGGGTCCTGGTCAAACTTTCACAAGGAGAATGTATTTTTGTATTATCTGTGTAAGTATAAATTAATACTGTTAAGTATAACTTTTTAAAAAATATCAATCTGCTGATTTTAAATAACCTTGGAACTGTTATCTGAAAAGCCTTTTTTTTTTTTTTTAAGATTTATTGCTGCTACTCTGATAGTACAGTGATCCTTTTTTTTTTTTTTTTTTTTTAATTTTTTTTT